TTGACATTAACTCAGCGGTTTACTACCTACGTGCAACTTCCTCGTCGGTTTCTTCTTGAATTACGACTACCTGTTTTTTTAAAATTTTGTTGCATCAACGGTATTTTTCTATTGACCACGAGGGGACCTTTCATTTGGGCGGTTCAATGAGCCTTGACAACATCTAGGACTGTCTCTCAGTTCCTACTGACCTACCATCCAGTCTTCTATTCAATGAGAAGCTCGCTATTGAGTGAGCCTTCCTTGAGTTGGTTTCTTACTGGTGTATTGCCAAAGTGGTGCATCACAAGTAGTTCGTTTTGTTTGTTGGCTCTGCTTCTGGTCCGGCTGTCGCATTAATTTGGACTGTATTGGTAACACTATTTAGTGTTCATATGACATAATGCATCAGTCAGCCTACCAATTCTGTGAAGTTGATTTTTTCATAAAAAATCACAACTGACTATTGGCAAATTTAGCTTGGTTATTATTGTCCAATTTGGTACCGGACTAATCCATTGTTCTTATAACATTCTTCAATATTTTATACTTGGGAGGGTCGACTTACCAGCAGCCTTTAAATTATTTGACGTTAACAATCTCTGGTGTATTGTATATATTTCCCTTCCTTCTGCGTCATTTTTATGTACAGTCTACATCAGTTGTGTTTGCACCAAATGAACACCACCTGGTTGAATTGACTCGACTTGACAATACACTTGTTGGGGCGCGCGTCTTGCCTCCTCGGTACTCCTGTTCTGCTTAGATCGGGATTGCTTACAGCGAACTATTCAGCGATTGCGTCCTCAGCTGACTAATTGTGTTTCATATCTTTGTAGCGGGTTAGTCCCCTGAAAATTAAGGAACCCGTGCTTTGATTATTGTTACACGTGGTGTCAAAGTTTTGTTTATTCCATAGTCTTTCTCCTATGGTTCTCCCCAGAATCCTTGATATTTCTGCTCTCACCTATTTTCTGCTCTTCTTCCTTAATATGCCTTCGGATACTGAACAGCAAGCAGCTGCTGCAGAGAACACTGTCATGGTTAAACTTCCAGATTTTGGCAGTAAAGACCTAGGCTGGTCCGGACAGATTGGAGTTATTTTTGACTTTCAGGGAATCCAGTCATAGCGCACCATATATAATCACGTCGTCTCAAATTTACCTGGGGCTGTGGCTGCAGAAGTTGAGGATGTAATTTATATGCGTCCAGCCGAAAACCTTTACAGTGTTATCAAACCTGCTATTATTAACTGGTTGACAGTTTCTGACGAAGAAAACCTCCGCAAGAACCTTTCCGGCGTTGAATTGGAGGGTCACACTCCCCCACAGGTGCATCGTCACAAGACTCAGGTGTCAAACAAGCAGACTATCAACGAACCGGTGTTGCGCGAGTTGTGGCTTCGGAACCTCTCAGACGAGCTCCGTCACGCACTGGCTGTTTTAGGGGAGGACACAACGTTGACTAAACTAGTGGAGTTGGCTGACCAGGTATATCACACTTATGTTCCTCAACAAGTAGCCCAGGTGAAAGCGTATTTTAGCCTCGACACATTCCAGCAAGATGTCGCAAAACTGAAGCAGCTGTTTTCACAAATGTCCTTGCAGTTAGCCGCGAAGTAGGTCGCTCACCCGACAATTCGACAGTAGTGTATGCTATTACTATCGTCGGTTTGGTACGCTCGCTCGTCGTTGCACTCAGCCTTGTTGCTTTCGGACTGGTCAAACTGAGACGGGAAACGACCAAACCAGTCAGTATCGGTAACGGTTAACACTGACCCGTAATTATATCGCCTGTTTTATGTATTCAACCGTTCAACCTTCTTCAATTTTCTTATTAATACGGGTGCCAAGGTCAGTTTTATTCCACCCACTGGTGATAAACATAACCTAAAATATCTGTGGTATACTTTACAAGCCACTAACCGCATTGCCATAAAGACCTACGGGGAGAAACTACCCACCCTCGACCTTGGTCTCCATCGACAATTCCACTGGGTCTACCGTTGCAGATGTACAGCACCAAATTATTGGCGTTGACTTTTTCACCTGCTTCGGACTGGTGGTACAGGTAAGGAGTGGGAGACTGCTGGACAGCAAAACAACTTTGTCCTCACACGGAAAGGCCTCATCGACTAATTCAATAGGATCAAGTTCTGCCTTACCAGACAACAGTTTTGCAACCCTGCTGCGACAGTTCCCATGCCTTATCAATACATCATACCCACCGTCACGGGTGAAATACGACGTTTTCCATCACATTATCACCAAAGGACAACCTACCGTCGTTCGCCCCGGCGGTTACCACCACAGAAACTCAAAATGGTCGAAGCTAAATTCGGAAATCTCCTAAGATTCGGCATTATCCGACCCTCCAGCAGTCTGTTGGCCTCAACCTTGCACATGGTACATAAAACCTCACCCGATGATTGGCGTCCGTGTGGTGATTATCGTGTTTTAAACGGTGCCACCGTCCCTAACAGGTACTCAGTTCCTCACATTCACGATTTTTCCACCGGTCTGCACGGTACGATCATTTTCTCAAAGCCTGATTTGATTCAGGTATATCGACAGACTTCCGTGGCCCCAGAAGACGTAGCAAAGACTGCAATCGCCACCCCGTTTGTGCCATATGAGTTTGTCCGCATGCCATTTGGTTTGCGAAATGCAGCTCAGACCTTGAGGAGGTTCTTGGACCGAGAGATAAAAACATCGACGCCAACGTCTTGTTCAGAGTTACTTCAAGTGGTCTACACTGAATTGACACCGCCGATTTGAAGGAATTAACTCGAGAACACGACAACGATCGAGAGTTGCAACAGTGTCACACCTCTTCTTCGCTCAAAATTCGGGAGTTGCCTCTAACGAACTGCGAAAGCACACTCATATTCGATACAACGACATTCAGCCCTCGTCCATTTGTACCACTGAACTGCAGACGCTCTGTTTTTAATAGCGTTCGTGCCACCGTCAAGCTGATTTCAAACCGATTTGTATCGCCGAACAGGCGTAAGGACGTTTGAGAATGGACGGGAAATTGCTTTGATTGTCAACGCAACAAAGTCCACCGGCATACCATCATGGCCCCAGGCACATTTGCTAACCCCGCTGCACGTTTCAACCATGTCCATGTTGACATAGTCAGGCCGTTGCCTTATTCAAAGGATCATCGGTATACCACGATTTCAACCGGTTACTCAGAGTCGATCACATCAAAACCACCGCATACCATCAGGCAGCAAACGGTCTGGTCTAACGCTTTCATCGTCAGATAAAGGCAACTTTGAAAGCCCAAATAGACCCCCAGCGTTGGACCGATCACTCACAACTTGTCATGCTTAGAATTCGATCGATTATTAAAGACATTAGTTGCACAACCGTAGAATTAGTTTACTGTTCAACACTTCGCCTTCTTAGTGAACTGTTCTACAAGTCGGACGCCAACCAAAATTATTTTGACATTATCATCTTCGTGCAACGGTTGAATTCATCCGTACCGAAAGTCCGGCCTCGGTCTGTCAGGTTAAACAGCAAACAAGAACAAAGACACACCAACCTAAACTGTTATGACTTTGCTTTCGTTCGTATGGATGCCGTTAAGGTCCTTCTCCAAAATTCACACTCCGGAACATTCCACATGATTGAGCGATCTCCAAAGTTCCTTGTGGTCTATCACAATGGATTCCACGACACAGTGAGCATTGATAGACTTACATTTGCTCATACCAAGCCCCACCTTCTGAGGTCGACCCTACTTATAATGACTCGAACTCCATGCAGCCAATGCGTAACGAACAGCCCGCTTCTCCTCACTCTAACCCGAAAACCCCGAGTGACCTACCCCGCACTCTTTCAGGCTGAACTGTCAGATGACCAATAGTTTTCAAAGTGCATTGTGTTTAACACTTCCGCATTTTCACTGAGCGTCTGCAACCTTTCAGCGCTCTAGGGAGCGTTCTGTGGGGTAGCGTATACATTTTACTTCATTTTGCATCATTTTTATACACAGTCTACATCAGTTGTCTTTGCACCAAATGAACACCACCTACTGGAATTGCTTCGACTTGACAATACATTTGCTGGTGCGCTCGTCTCACCTTCTCGGTATTCCTGCTCTGCTTAGATCGGAATTGCTTACAGTGAGCTATTCAGCGATTGCGTTTTGAGTTGACTATTTGTGTTCATACGATTGTACAGGGCTAGGGCTTACACATTCGTTCCGCCGATATCGATCTATCTGTTGCAATTGACAACGAAGGGTGGTCTTGTTGATTGTGCGTTACCGATTGATTCCGATGTTGCACAGAATCAGCAGCCAGCCTGTAGGGATACATCTGATTCCTCATGGGACAGTAGGTCAGAAGTAAGCCGTGGAAATTTTGTATTCGACTGACAGGCTGCAATGTTAAGGTGATCACATGCAGCCTGCAGTAGTTTACTATGGGATATGACGTAATGTTCTGTGCGTACTCAACTGGAAAACAGAAAGTCATATGTTGTAAGATCAACCGACAATTCAAACCTGTGACCGGTATCAAGGAGTTGAGATCATGATGGTTTGGAGTGTGAATGTAAACAACTGGGTGTAACACGACGACTGTTGCTCCAAGTTTGACAATCTCTCACAGGGTCTTACAGTGAATTTGAGGATGCAATTTGGTAAATGTTTGCCTGAATACAAGTTCTGTCCATTGTTTTTCTGAATGTTTCCATGCAAATATATTGCCTTACTTACAAAATACAACACACTGCCTTCCATCAATGATACTGTGTTTGCAATTCCTCCTGTTGGGAAATGTGTGCTGGGGCTCGTTGAGGGTCAGACGTATTATTTGCCGATACTTCTATTAGGTAAAATTGAACGGACTCCAGAGTGGACCGCCAGTTTGAACAGAACACATGTTAGCGGAGGTCAGCTGCAAATAGTATAATGTCTGCAAGACAACAGCCGCTTAGAAATCCGCCAGATGATTATTAACAACGACCGATACATTTTAAATGAGACTCAACTGTGAGAAGTCAGGGCTTCGGCTGGATTCGGACTAGCGATAGAAACACCATGCCTCAACGCGGCAAACGCTCTGCCATCTGAGCTACGAAGCCAAGCCAGAAGCTCGAAAACTTCACATTTCACCCCGATACGTTGTATGTATTGCAATTTGCGTAGCAACGTAGCACATCTTATATTTTTTAGCAAAATTTTGTAGTTTGATTTTTCATCAAAAATGACACTCAGAACCGATTGAATGCCCCCTGCAACACTGGACAATTTTGTTGAGACAGGCTGATAATATTTCACGATTCGTTTATACGTTCTCAAGATTCAGTCGCTGAATTTTAATACCGGAGCTAGACTCCACAAATCTACATGTGACGCTAGTAGTCGAACGACGGTAAACTCAACGTGTAAACTTGTTCGGCGGCTATTGGAATATGCAGAGAAATAAATCATGCAGACATCAAATTACTAAAAATGTAAGAACAAAATGATAAACGGCGTGTTGCCAGAAACATTCTTGCAGCTTTTCTATTTGCTGTAATCGACAAAGGAAACGCCAAACAGGGAAGACAAACGACTATCGACATTAGCGACAGCTAATCTTCTCACATGTCGATCCATATTGTAAAAAATTTCATCTTGGAATCTGTCGGCTTGGCAGTACGATTAGACTAGAAGAGTCGATGGGGGAATACTCAGTTGGAGAAATAGGAAAGAACTGGTCGAAGCAAACTTTGTCATCTGCAACCATTGTCCGGAATACATTTGTCGAATACAGCGGTACCATATGGAATAAATTGAAAGCCTCGCCAGTTCGCTCACTCCAGTGATCAATGAGATTGCAGTAACTGAGTAAATTGTTTCACAACTTCAGTTCACTGACTACAGCACCTTTGACTTCGTTCAAAGAACACGAGGGGAATAACGAAAATTTATTCGTCCAGTACAACACCACTATGCCTTTCTTATCTTCGAGCAAGGGGTCCTTATGTGTCAAAGTTTCAGACTGCACAATTTACTGTGGTTTCAAAAGTCACAAAATAGTACTCTGTGTTGATGGCCTGAAACTTAACAGTGTTTTGTTGACATCGGCATCGAAAGACTGTTCCCTGTTGACTTGGGAAAAGGAACATGCTCCACGTATTATTAGTTAAGTGGCCAAATAGCCGCAGACATATTCTGGTCGTTTTCAGCAAAGGAATAAAGTCAACCTAGTTTTTTCGTGGACTACTACGTGTGCCTGTGGAACATGCTCATGTTACACTATTCTCCTCATCACGTTCACTTCAATGTCAAATATTCTGGTCATGTGATAACACCGTTTTCTATAAATTCTTGGTGTTCTATAGCCAACCGTGAGAAACGTGAATTAGTTGGAACACGCAGAACTACTCTACCATGACTAACTTAGTTTCAGTCAACCCTGTTTAATTATCGTTATCGTACTGAGTCATGTAGATGCAGTGACCAGAAACCTTGTTGTATTGATCGCTGATAAGTGTGCTTATGCGTCACCTCATCGAAGAAGTATTCAAGGAACTCAGGAGATCCACACTTTCCTTTGGCGTCAGCCTGCACTGTAAGATGCAATAAAACTTTCATAAGATGTACTCTGCAGAGACATTTCGACCGATCTCTTCGGTTATGATACGCGGACTATGATCAATTAACATACATCAGTTTAAATAAGTGTAAAATAAAAATGAGTCATCAGCTGCGATAGAAATAGCATACAGTACCAGTCACGTTCGAATGGGTCATTATTAGTCAAGAACAAGCGAACAAAATTCAAATTTCAAACTGGTTGAGTGAGAAACTAACGGTGTAGACAATGTGAGTCTTACAGTAAAACACGCTGAAATAAACGGAAACTAATAGGCAGTCCAACATAAAACTTAAGACAAGAGAAGGAAATAAACTGAAGTAAACGGTACAACCAAAGCATTCAAGTAATAGCAACACTTAACGAATGATTGTAAAATCTTAACACAATGGTAGTGATAGGTTAACTACCATTTGCTTCTGTACACAAAGCGAAGGTTTGTAGCGGTGTATCGCAACGGCCTCAACGAAGGGCAAAGTGTGTTTATTGATTGGGCGATACAACACACGAAAAGCCTTCTCCACTTGAATTACGTGTCCTGTTTCTTCCAAATGCCGTGTGATAGAAGACTGAGCGGCGCCGGCTTCGTTGTTCGCCAGCCATTTGGGAATGTGCTCCGAGACACGTGTTCTTAACTAATGATGGCCCATTCGAACGTGACTGGTACTGTATGCTATTTCTATCGCAGCTGATGACTCATTCTTATTTTACACTTATTTAAATTGATGTATGTTAATTGATCTTAGTCCGCGTATCGTAACCGAAGAGATCGGTCGAAATGTCTCTGCGGAGTACATCTTACGTAATTCTACTTGCGTGTTCTAAATTTATCGGGGGACATAACTGTTTCAAAAACCTTCATAGACTGACACCTTCAGAAGATGGCTATCTCTCAACAGCCAACCTTTCTCCTCAATTCCGTAAAACTTCTATTATAGTGTTCTCCATCATGATCTGTACAACAATCGCGGAATTGGCAACTACAGCTTTTTCATAACGGCCACTAATCACAACCAAACCTAACGGCAACTCTGGTCACCAAGCCAAATAGAATGTGTCCTGTCTCCTGATTCACATCGGAACTGATTATATCCACACGAGTGATTCGTGTGGGCAAGAAATCAATCTGACCCCAAGAACTGTTGAAAAACCGTTACTTGGAGGTTTTACGGTCCAGTCAGTCTGGAGAGACGAATACAAGGTTAATCACAAACTAGCAGTAATCTGAATCCACAGTATATTTGAACTAGGGAAGCCATGCATTGTAGCTCCGTTTCGCAAGGGAAGTAACAGATTATACAACCAAATAAATATATTGATGATAATCTGAATAACAACTTGTGTGAATGCATTTTGTATGCTGCCGGCAAAAATATATCCAGTTCTGCTCTACTAACTTAACAGAAAGCCACTGAAGTGTCACATACGTTAGAATATTTTAGATTTTCAGATGGCTTTCAATAATTATCTGGGGGAAAAAACCATATCAGCTCTCATGTTGTCTTTGCAGAAGATTCGGATGCGTTCGCAGCTCATGCAAGAGATTCATTAAATCGACAGGACCTCAGAAAGGAGTGGCACAAAGTGGATGACGGTCGCAAACGGGAAGAAACTCTCCTCTTTATCTGTAAGTTTCCAAATTAGAAACTAAAGCAAGGAAAGTCATGAAAAGAAGCTTCGTATGAAACTAAGCATGAATCTGTAGGCATTCAGCAAAGAATGTCAGAAGCCGGCACTGTTGACTGAGAGAGAAGAATTGGGAATCGGAGAATCAGAAATTATCCGACATGTTAAGTTGATATAAGGAAAGAATTTGCAGTAGGACATCTAACACAGATTAGCACAACAAACCACACCATATGTGTAATGATTTAAGATGAAGTGGTCTCGGGCAATACGATGACCCACGTTGGTAAGAAATACTGTTGTTGTCTTTCACTTAAAATTATGTATCTGAAGGTGTGAATTCCCAAGAAAACCGAAGGTAGCTGCCGAAATGTGTTCCTACAATAGTAAAAGTTTGTCAAGAGTAGATTCCTTCAAGTCTGTAATTTGCAGAGTACGCCAATTGTGGCAAGTTTTTGTGGCGTTCGACTGACTTGATCGGTCAACCGATATGTTCACATGCGCAATTCTTTTGTTTGTACGAAATTACACGAGTCGAATAGGTTCGCGTTCCCGAATGATTATTCTGTTTACCTTGTGTGTGAGACCTACACGGACCGAATCCTGACAGCCTGCATGGAACACAGGTATTGTTGTCAAGAGATGTACAAAGAGTCATAGTCTTTGTTCCTATTTTTACCGTAGCGTGTATTCGATGGTTCTGTAGCCCTCGACGGTGTTCATCAAGAACAAGTAGAAACCGAAGGGGAACATTAAAGGAGAAAAAGCCTGCCGGTCGGAGGAGTTCTAATAATTGTCCCTCAGCGTTGGCTGTGGACTTTGTAGAATAACGTGAGTCTGTTTTCATCATGACTAGATTTGTGTATGATCCGCGAGTGGATTAGGTCGAACGGTCGGTTAAACAAAAGACACTTAATAATTATGTAAGTGAATGACCAAACAGATGTATAATAATCAATGATAATCGGTCTATTTGGAGATTATCAACAAAGCTGTGTAGTTCCCGTCTTTTTGGAATGGTGTGTTCATATTTACTTATGGTTTTGTGTTAAGCCCCCCGCACACACGCACCGACCACCGTTATTAGACGACCGTGATTCCAGTTTCTCAAGTGTTTGTTTTAAATGTGTTGAATGTACGTGAACAAACTGTACATTCTTAGCATAACGGGAAGCGGCATGCGGTATGATACATTGTCTTGATATGTAAGCACAAAAACGTCTAATACAGCACCCTCAAGGACTAAGTTAAATGTGCTGCCGATTATTTCCCAATTATGTTGGCTACTTTTATTAGACAGTAGTCTGAAAGTATATTTTAACTTGACAAGCAGGTGCAACACAATTGTTAACATAAACCTAATGATGGTCGGCGAAGTGTTGTTGTTCGTTGACTCTGGCTTCCTTTTATTGCCTGCTGTTGAACAAAACATGCTAATTAACCTTTGTAAGACATACGCGTATTGAGAAATAAGCAGGTTCTTCGGTTGTGCCCCAAATTTACTGGGGATATGTTTCATTTTCCACATTTTTGTTTATTGCTATGTGAGATACACACTTGATCAATATGATCGTCATGTAATTGGGAAAACATGCACAGTTCACATCAGTGTAAATTCGTTCACTGGACACTTTGTGAACGCTTAAAAAAGGCGCGAAAAGAGTTGATGATGATAGTATTCGTCGCTCTTTATTTGCTATGTTTATATTGCGCAACACAGCAGATGACGTGACCCGTATACAACGGTTTGCAAGATGTCATCAGTACTGATAAGATAACATGGTACTTCAGTGTCTGATATTTCTGGTGACCAGTGACCATCGATTTGTTTTGTCTCAATCTGAATGATCCGTTTTCTATTCAAGATAATGTACA